TACAGGAAGCTTTGATTTTAAAACATTGAGTTTAACTCTGTCAAAGGATCAAACCTCATAATTTTTTATCTCAACCTGACATTTTCCTCATGCATATAACCCCTTTCTGCCCTTCCTCTTTCTCTCTTGCTAATAAACTGCTGACAAGCCATGTTTGATTGTCTTGTGAAGGCAAGAAGATCAAATACATACCGAATATTAACAAAAAAGAAAGGGTATCCTTAGGGGGAAAAAAAAAAAAGTTACAGAACGTATTCATTTTTTCTGCTGGAAAGAGTTGTCAGGCACAATGAAAAACCAGTTCAGAGGTGTCTTGCCACAGAGAGGGAGCAGGACTGTGGGTATCACACAGGGGAATTTGGGATTTCAGGAGTACTCTGCTCATCCCTGTCAGTCCTGGGCTGGGCTGAGGGAGGCAGGAAGGCAAGGAGGGGTGCTGCCCCCAACCACTGACCTCGCAGATATTTTATCTTTCTCACAAATGGAAGGCAAAAATTCCTGCCCAGGACTGAAGAACAAGGCCCTTCTTCCCCGGTAGCACTGTGTCTGTTTTGTGCTTGTTTATTATTTCTTCCTGTTTTTTTTTCCTTTGGTTTTTTTGATTTTTTTTTTGTTGTTGTTTTTGGGGTTTTTTTTTTGTTTTGTTTTGTTTTGTTTTTGAGGTTTTTTTGTTTGATTGTAACATTTTTATTCCCCCTAGTTAGTTCTACTCTGTGGAGAATGAAACCCCCCAAGCTTTATCGTTTTAGCCCTCTGGAATTAGGGCCGTGAGAGTGATTTCTGGAAAAGCACTATGGGACTTGGCTTACAAATTTAGCACAACCAGTGATTCCCACAGGTTATAGAATCATAGAATCTCCTGAGTAGTGAGGGACACACAGGGATCATCGAGTCCAACTCCTGACATCCCCAGAGCCACAATGCCCGAGAAAATTGTCCCAACATTTCTTCAACTCACTCTTGGTGCTCTTTCACCTTTCCTGGGGAACCTATTCTGGTGCTCAACCAACCTCTGGATGTAGAACCTTTTCCTAGTATCCAGCCTAAACCTCTCCTGACACAACTTCATGCAGTTTTCTTGAGTCCTGCCCCTGATAACTGCAGAGAGCACCTGTGTGACCACCACAGTGCTGTACTGTTGAAATGTCACATGAAAGCTCACATTACAGTTTAAGAAACCAATTTAGTAGCTGCAAATTCACCTTGAAGTTATGCTCAAATATTACTTTGTACAGATTCTATAAACATGTTTGCACTCGCATTTTCTACACAACTACATATAGGAAAAAAAAATTGTCTATACCTTATCCTTGATCTGTGTTTGTGGGTCTGATATTTCTCCTTAGTCTTGTCCATGTCAGTTTAGCTAAATAAAAATGTTAATTTACTGCTAGCCTCAGAATAGGTCCTCTCTTGTCTTCATAATCCAGCCAGAGCACAGGGGTAGCACTGAACAGAAGAAAAACCAGAGGAAATATTAAATAAAAGAACTAGAAAGGGATAGGAAAAAAAATGAGGAAAAACTTTTATTGAGCAAAAGAACAAGCAAAAGAGGTCAACACCTTGAATTATTTACAGAGGGCAAGTAGCTCAGGTTCTTTCTGCCCAGTATACAAGCAGTCTGTTTATTCTGATAAAGCAACAGCTTTTTATGTATATCACACAACATATTCAGAAAGTTCACAAAGAAAACTCTATAGTCTCAAAGCCAAATGTTTATCTGGAATATGGAGGAAAAGAAACTCTACAAGTTAACGTTTGAGCCTCTCTATTTGCACCAGCACTTCTTGAATAAAATATTCTTATTTTCATCATGAGTTGATAAACACATATTTAAAAAAAAAACATGTATACATACATGCACACACACAAACACATATTGAATTTTGTATTTTCAAGCTGCATAATGCAGCAATTTTTTAATATGAATGAAACTGTACTCATACTTAACTTGAGATTAATTTGCAAAAAAAAATTTCCAGTACTGTGAAATTACTGTGGCTTCCTATTTGTTGTCTTGACCTACTTGACAGGTACATCAGGTACAGCTTTGTTCCTCCAAGGTTATCCATTCCAGGGATAGGTTTTCTGTTTGGTATGCAAGGCTTGCAAAACCACCCTTTGAAGATGTGGAGTTGTCTTGCTCTCTCTAGATGTTAAGCTTCCTTTAAACTGTGATGAAGTTTAGGGAAAAGAGTTTTAATCACCAAAGGAATCCTTTAAAGCATTGATGTTTTCAGCTGTTGAATCACCTTGTAACAGCAGCAACGGAGAATTAAAACTCGTGTCCAGTTTTGTGTGAAACCTTGGCTCTGCCCAGAGGCCTCAATGTGACAATAACAGGAAGCAAATATTGCATTGTAGCTGCTCTTGTGTCAGTCTCTGTACAAAAAAAAATTCTAGCGCTCATTTACTTAATGTTGCAACCTAATCCATTACTGATTGAACAATGCAAAGTTAGAAAACAAATTTATTATGAGCAAGTTTCTTATTAGGATAGAATAATCCAGCCAGAAACACCCTGAGATAGTAAATATTTGCAAGTTTGGATAATATGCTTGTCTTCATAATTGGCAGAATTGATCCTGCTGAGTGTTAACTTCACAGTTCAGAATTATCCCTCATTGTCTTATATATGCAGACCCCTCTCCTTTTCAGATTTGTGCATGTGAGTAGCTGGTATAAAATAAAAATTAACTGCAGGTTAATTTAAAATTTATTAGAAAAGAAGGTGAGGTTTTAGGTGGGGAAAAAACACCCCAAATTAATTCTCAATCCTCTTTTCTGGAGCTATGCCTATTTGTCACATAGACTCAATAAATATGATAATAGCATTATCTTGTTAGCATCTTAACAGACATTCTATTTTTTAAGCAACCCTCTAATGCAGAAATTCCTAAATTTGTTTAGTATCTGATTCAAGTGGAATTTTAAAATCATTTCATGAGATGCAAACTGAACAGCTTCTGTAATTTCACACCTCATTCAAGTTTGCTTTATGTTATGCTGCCATTTCTACCTCTGAAAAGCAAGTGTTCCAACCTCGAGTGGAGCAGTGGCCCTGCAGGCTTTCTGTGGGCACGGCAATCCACACAGACACAGGACAGATGTTTTAGTCTGGTCAAATGCCTTATGAGCTATTGTCCATCAAAACACCTGTCAGGTAATGGCACAGGAGTGTGAGTTATGATACAAAAGACCTTTCAGGTCTGTTGCACATACCAAGGGCTGCTTCAGATGCACTCCAGTTTCTTGCATTATGAGACATCAGTTGAATAAATCAAGATTATGCTCTATGCAACAGTAAAGGAAAAACTTAGGAATCAACAATTACTTTCACTTAGATTATAGTGCTGCTGACATGTCAGCAGTTTTGATCTCTGTTCATCTGGGGAATTATTTTGCTTTGCTTTTGTTTGCCTCCCCATAGAGCTGGTGTCAGAGCAGAGTGACTTGTGTTGCAGTGCAGTGAAAAGTCTTCTAGCAAGCTTCCTTTGGTGATGCATGTTTCTAGTCAACACATACCATTATTCTGTTTCCAGAGCCAGGAAACTTTGGGGCACACAATCTATTTTACTGATGGAGTGCAAAGTCACAGAGTAACCACAAAAGTCAAATAAAGCATCTAGTCCAGATGATTTATAATGGAAGAAGTTGTCCTGGGGTGACTTTACGATACTTATGTCCCCAGTTATCTGTTCTGTTTATGCTGGATATTTAACCAAATGCCATGTGAGGACAAGCACTTACTCTACTTGAGTGAAGGTCTTCCAAATATTTTTAAAATACTACATGGTATGGTGAAATAATATTTTTCACTTTTTGGAGGAACTTCTAAACAATATATTTTACTGAGCTTGGTACTAAAAACTGTTTAAAGTCCAAACTTTAAGAAGCCAGGTGCAAGCAGCAGATTGCTTACACATACAATATCAACTTCAAATAATCCATTTGACCACTCAATGAATTAAAACAGGAGTAATTCCTAAGTCAAGTACAACCAATGGCAGGTTGTCATTCTTCATGCTGAGGTTTAATGCTCATCTTAAACCGAAATAAAGGTGGGTATCTGCTTAAAAAGCTATCTATCTTCTCTCCCCTGTCCTCAGCTACACTGGTCCATCCCTAATATTTGCCAAAACCAAAAGCCAAGTTACTTCATCTTAGAGTTGATCAGAAACACAGAAACAGACTGATTTTTATTTTCCATGCAGACATGAAAACCAGGCCCATGATCCACCTCCCCACATAATTCCACTAGCACACCTCTGATTGCAGAGAAGCATGAAAAAGTCAGTGTAAGGAATAAAACCAGCCCTATTTTGCATCAGTCAGAGCTTCCATATCATCCCACTGCAGCCCAGACACCAAAGGAGGAGCCACTGCTGCTTCTATCTTTAAAATTATTTGCTTTTCACTGGCAAAAAATATAACTTTTAGAGTGCAAAAAGCTTAGAATTTCATTTCAAAGCATAATTAACAAAGCAATTCACAACAACTGTGTAGTTGTTCTGTACTCACCACTCAGTAATTACCACTTAAAAAAAAAAAAAAAGAATAACATGGAAAACTACTGAAAAGAGCTTCCAACATTGTACCATGGCCAAGACTCACCACAGGAGAGCTACTTTGCAGGTGTAAAATACTCATATGCTAAAGAAAATAGAGCAAACAATGCTGAGAGAAGGATAAACAAAAGGAGGATGGTGTGAGAATATGAGAGGAAGTCAACAATAAAGGAAGTTCAGGAAATTGAAGAAGTGAAATGGCAAAGTGAGAAGTGAGGGAAAAAAAAGGCATAGGTTGCAACACTGTAGTATCCTGTAATGGAATAAAGATAGGAAGAAAAGGAATTTTTAAAGCCTGCAATTAAAACCAATGCATAAACTTACTTTCTATTTGAGATTAAAATGATTACTCTGGCCTAGTTTCCTATTAGATGTTGCTGTGAAACCAAATTTCTTTTGTACTTATTTTTACATCTTTTTTTTATTTTTTAAAAAAATATTTGGGATTTTTCAATTACTATTTAAATATTATTTAAATGCTTGTCATGTGTATCTAAAGCAACCAATAGAGATAATAACTAAAAGCTTCTTAAATTTTCTGACATTTAAGAGTGCACATAATGCAGAGGCTTTATGGAATGCTGATAAATTTCCTTGACCTACTGCTGAAATTTGAATAAACATATCATTATGGACTTTAAAATGGGGCTTTTATGTATAGTGGCACATTAGGACCTGATGTGGTAGGCTTTAAGTAGCCTATTAGAAAATCTTTCAGCTTGCAGACAATTCCAGCTATTGTGGGGTCACTGAGGGTTAATGATTTATTCCTGAAATGAATGGGAGTTTTGTCATTGATTTGACAGAATTGATAAAGTCATTTTGCTTTTTCACTTTTTAATAGTTCTTCTGGAGAGAACAGTGTATGAACAGAAGTCTCAATCCTATTAGAAATCAAGCTCTGGGACAGTGAAGCCAACATTTACGTGGATTTCTGTGCCCCAGAAGCACTGGGAACACAGTGTGAGACATGTCCTAATTTTGTTCACATCTTTTACCTCAGACAAACACATAGGTGAATTCAGTGAAAGAAAAAAAATCAGAGAACATCAAATTATCAAATTCCTCTAGGAACAGAGGAAATGCACAAAGCATTTCCACTTCCAAGCAAGGAATTAAAACACCTCAGTCCCTTCAAACAGCCAAAGTGTGATGGCATCCACTTCCAGGACATCCAAGGGTAGGTGCACACAAGCAACACTCACTAAATAACTTTAGTTATTAGTACTAACTTTAGTTAGTACAAAATTACTGTGAGCTTTGACAGCAAAATCAGATAAAAACCTGACTGAATCGTGACTCTAAGCTCACTGACACCCTCAGGATGGGTTTTTCTTGACCCATGTGTAAGATAAATAGAGACTGTCCCTATAGCCTCATCTTCCAAAGTGAAGCATTTTCCTGCATGGACTTGCTCACAGTCAGACTTTTTGTACCCAGAAGTGAAGGGTGCCAGATTCTGGCATGTACCTTTTTCTCTCTCCAATTAATATATTATTGATATTATATTAATGATATTGTGTTATATCAATTATAATATAGAGTTAATAAAATAGACAACATAATATAATTAATATAATACATAGAATTAATGTAATTTATATACTATGACATGATACAATATATGATATTATAATATTTTTATGTATTTTTGGGATACATATATTTGATATTGCAATCTGCCTTGTTAAGCCCACAAATCTCCATATCATCCCTTAGCTGTGGTTAAAACAAATGATTAATTTGACATTTTCTGGGAAAAGAATCTAATTTGTCAGAAAAAGAGAGTCAGAATGCATAAAGTAAACAAATGCAGGAAATCTACCAAGAAATCCATAATTGCATGGATTTTGAATGTTGATTTGCTCAATGTACTTTTGTTTTTAAAAATAATGTTATATTTACTCATTTTTATATTTTAATTTAAGAGACTGGCGGAGAAAGTTGACCCTTTCTTGTGGACATTGTAACAACTGATAGCATTCAACTCCTATACAATAATTTACTTGATCATAAATAACAACTCAACCATAATTTTTTACATGATGAGAAAATGTGTTAATAAACCATCAGAAGCCACATATATTTATTTAAGGACCTTTTTTTGAACTGTGAACAAATTTGAGAAGTACTCTGTGTGTACCAGAAGTATTTTATTCAAGGGGGTCATCATAAGCTCTTGTTGAAAGACACTCTATATAATAAAAGGTAAAGACTGAAACAGAAATCAGCTTCAGAAATTTGCTTCAGAAATTTTACCTTATCCTTGAACTGAAATTCTGTAAAATTTAGGAATTTCTGATATTTATATAGAAATATAAAATAGATGCATGATGGTGCAGTTATCTAACAAAAGGGAGTTATTGTGCACTAATGCTTCATCATTGCTAAAGAGAAATTGTAAAACCTTTTAAACAAGTGGTTCTTGAATGGTTTACATCATTTGCTATTGGATACCTGTAATTTCACTGTGCAGCTTATTTAATGAATGGGCAATCTTGCAAAAGAAATTAAGTATTTTCCCAGTCTGAAGAAGCTGATGGTAGGTGTTTATATGGCAGGATTAATCACAGATGATTTGCTCAGAATACAAAATTAAATAGTTTTCTTTAGACTATTTTTCATACTACTTACCTTTGCTTTATATTTGAAACATGAAAGTTTTCCAAGAAAAAAATTGTTTCTCAATAGCCTTTTGGGATGCTTTTTATATTATTGTCTGATTTAGAATAGGAAACTTCACCCTTTTTTTCAGCATCTATGGAACATTTTAAAAGTCAGTACAGTATCTGCTTGTCTGTGCATGCAAACAGAAATAACTATCTGGGGAACATAATCATAGCAAAAGGTCATGTTTGCCCTTTATTTGAAATACTTTTAGACTATCAAGTGGTTTAGAAGTCACTCAATCAATACCAGAAGTCAAGGAAAGCATTTTGTTTTATCAACATGAAGATATTTTGAGATTTCTAAGATGGAATGGTGTTTCCTTCTGCATTTTAATTGAGGTTTCATAAAATCACTGTTTTAGTGTAACTGGCAAGGGTGTTTAAGCTGAACTACACCACAACATCCACCTGAGACACAAATGTTTTAAAAATCTGAAAGACCCACATGAGGCTCCTTCTCTTCCTCTTTCCCTTTCTGCCTTCAAAAGGCAAATCATCATGAAAGCTGAGACTATAAACATCTCCATATACATGTAAAAACAGTAAGGTGGTGCTGAGAGATATAAATTATTTATTATATATATTTCATTTTCATGTTGTCTGTTCTATTCAAGCCAGAGGAACTTTAAGGTTGGATGTGGATACACATTGCAGCACATTTCTTATAAACCAATGTTTTTTTTATAAAAACAGAGGTAATTTAAAGAAAGAAGACTTTCTGAGGTTCAGAGGCTTTGGAATAGATATTTTAAAATTATTTTAATATGCAGTCCATCTGAGTTATTTTTATTTAAAAGAGTTAAACAATTTGTTGCAATCTCCAACCTATTGCCTAGTAAAAAAACCCATAAACCATTGTTTTTAATGTAAGTAATTACAGTGGAAATTCCCCTATAAATAAGATCCCAAAATCTGCCTGCACCTTTGAATTAAAAAAAAAAAAAAAAAGAGACAACATTAACATATTTTTGAAGACTGATTAAAATTATACCATGCAAGATTGTATGAACATGGACAAGTTGACAAAGTGTTAAAAATAGCATTGCTTTTGGTAAATTCCACACATCTGTTTTCAATCTAACAACTGAAAATTGTCAATTAAATAATGAAATGGAAAATTAATATGTCTTGAAACTGTAGAAGGAGTATGAATCCAGAGGGACCAGCGTTAATACAAGCTACCAGAGTTTGTGAACCAAGAATGATTAGCTGAGTGAATTATTAGTGCAGACTGCAAAATTATAGTTAATATGGGGAGATGGCCTACAAGAATACAGAGAATTGGGTCCACGACTAAGGTGCTGTACTTTATTTGAGATCAGATTTCTGGAAAAACCATGCTACACATTGAATTTTGAAGCACTCTAAAAATCAATGGCTTTAATTACTCAAGGAACCCTAGTAAGTATTAAACCCCAGTTCTTCCATTATACCTTTTCCTTTTTTTTTTAGGAAAAAAAAATGAATTAAAATATCTGAAATGTTATTCTAAGAAATATGTGTATTTAAACGAAAAATAACTCTGATAGAAAAAAATGTAAATGTTCAGCCTGGGTGAGCATTTTCTTAAATGGCCATTATCTCAAAGTTAGTATAAAGACTGAAAAACTAAAATAGCTTATTAATGGACTGAGACTGCTTAAACTTTTCATTATGTGAGTCAGGTGTATAGAATCTTTTGAAAAACCTCACTAAGTAACTATCTGCATCTTTAGGCACTTAAATGTGTGTCCCTACTGTACTCTTGTTAATTGATTTCAATTAGGGTGTGAGGATTTAGGAATATTGTGCTACTGCAGGTTGCAAAGTTTGTGTTTCAATTCCAGGCAACTTTTTAATTCCGGGGGGCCCAGTTTTACAAAAAGGAAAGCTGAGAATATCCCTACCACTGCTGTTGTTTTGAAAGTATAAAAGGATATGAAGCAAAGGGCAAAGCTGAATGTGCTACAGGTGATAGGAGCTACTGCATTAGCTAGGAATAAAGCACTTAAAAGATGGGAAGCAAATCATGGTTCTTTCCCTTATAGTTGGGTAGCACCATCTATGTGCATGAAGGTACATGGTGTCGTTATTCAAGCTCAGCACAGATTTTGGGGCTCAGTGGATTCCAATACCTTTCTTGGAATACCATTACTGGCAGGAATAGGCTCTTTTTCTTCACTTCATGAGGAAAACTCACTTTTTTGAAAGTGAAAAAGTGAAAAAAAATTCCATTTTTTTTTTCTTTTCCTATTTTTCCATCTTTCCTGGAAAAAAAAAATCCCAATTTTTAACTCCTATCCAAACTCATCCTTAAGGATTTTGTACTTGTAAACAAAACGACTAAAAGCTGACAGTTGGAAATGTCATGTCTGCTGTCAACCATTCATGAATAATTGACACCCAGATTACCCAGGGAAAGCTGCAATTATCCTGACTCATTAACATATGAACTAAGCCTGGTTTTGTTCTGTAGTTGTAGGATTTTCCTTCAACTCCTTGATGCAGAAGGTAAAAAAACCCCAGCGGGAGCTTGCTGTACAAAGAATAAGTCTGAATGAATAAACAAAACCTCAGAACTATGAAGACATATTAGAATTTCAAGTAGTGTTTTGTTTAATCTTGCATGTACCATTTTGGTACTCTGCTATTTTACAGGGGATATCACTGTGACAGATTTGTGTGCTTGACTATGGCTTGGAGAACAGCTTTTTGCAAATAGAGGTGTCAATGGGAAGATCTTTTTCCTGTGTTCATATTTTCGTACTCATCCAGCTGAAGGTGTCCAATCAGAAAGCTGAAATGGTTGGTATTAAATTAGAATTTAAGCAAGCCAAGTTGCCTGGATAATAACAGCATTAAGAGAGGGGAAAATATTTTATAATGGATTTTCTTTTTTAAAACAACAACAACAAAAAAAAAAGTCAAAAAAGTTATTGATTTTAAGACTAAGTTTAGCAAATCAGAATTAAACCCTGAAACAAGCAGGCAAAGAAAGTAGTCAGGAATTTCACAAGCCAGAAAAAACATATAAAGAAATAAGTTCCCAATATTTACAAAGATAATGAAAATTCCTAATGGCTGCTCCCATGTATGTTAAATGCTTTCTCACAACCTGTACAGCAGGACAGACATAAATTTTTTGTAGGTAGAGTAGCCCTGAGGTCTAGGATAGGATCTGAATTAAAAATTCTTTTATTTAAAAAAAGCCCTTTGAACTGCAAGCTGAAACCATGAATCTATTTCCCACAAGTAATTTCCATTTTGGTTGCCCCTCACTGCTGGTCCTATTGCCTTTAGAAGCACAGCATATATTGGAGGCCATCACATCAATCTATGGAGTTGAATTATAACTTCTTTGATATAATGAGCTCTCTTTAACAGTCACACACAGTCAAAGTCACTGTTCAGAAAGGATAACCAAGCCATTGCCTGTCAAGTGTAATACACTTCATTAAAATGCAAGTCGTTTCTTAAAATGCACATTCACTGAACTCCAACCCTTCATAAATCTTGTAACATTTCATTTCTTGTTCACAGCTCTGAAATCTTTAAATCAGGGGCTCTGGTAACTTCCTGCATAGCCTTAAAACACTTATAAATTTCCGACTTTAGTATTTTTCTTCTTTTTTGTACAAAATTTATGACAGAAAATGACAAACAATTTGGAATCTCTTGCCTATATGATCTTTGCAGCACATCTGTCAAAACCAATTATTAGACACTGGGTCTTGTCATATTGTTGAAGACTTTTTGACATCCTTCAATTCCATATCTTTGCTTGGGGGATAACCACTGGGAAAAATTCTAGTTTTATAGGTGATTTATTTTATGTGGTCTTTGTATGATATTCATTTCCCCTTAGTAAATGCAAAACTCTCTATCTCAATGCAAACAGAGAAAATAAACAAAAGTTCCCTATGTGTGTAAAGGAGAACAGGGGAATTAGGAAGAAACAGAGGCCAGTTCCTGGAGTTTCCTCTCTGTTTTAACAAACACAGGATTTGAAACTTACTGCCAAAAAAAATACCAATGACAATGACAGATATGTCCAAGGCCAGCCTCACTGGGGCTCTCGGAAACCTGGTCTCATGGAGAGGCCCTACTAACATCAGGGAAGTTGGAATGAACAAGATGGTCTTTAATGTCCCTTCCAACCCAAAGCATTCTATGATTTAGTGATATTGACATCATCTTCTCCAATAATTTGATATTTTTATCCAAATCCTTTTTAATTTTGAATATTTAGACGGTATTTTTACTTCTTGTTCTGCGTACAGTTCCTCTGGTATCACATACAATAGCCTATTCACTGTCTTTTCCAAAATACAATCTGAATCTAATAACATGACTACTGCTCAGATTTTCTTCTTTGAGAGGGTTCAGCATTAACCAATATAATACATATTACTGTAATGTTAAAATTGTGCATACAGTATTGCATTCAGAACCCACAATTCTCAAGGAGCAGCGCAAGCCTATTTAAAAAAAAAATTAATATTTAAATTTATACCCACTGACACATAATCCTGCAGTGATCTCTAGAATCTGCCAAACAATAATCACTTTATATAGATGAATACAATCATGAATCATTTTTACCATAAACTACAGAATAAAATCAACTGCTTATAAATATACGCAAAAATCACCTCTGTAAGTTGTAAAAAATATTAAATGTCTTCAAGCAGTTTGCATGTGTAATCCATTTGATCTCTCAGCATTTTTCTTGTTCTCAATCAGAACAAAAAAAACCTCAGCAGATATTCTCAGAAATGTCTAAATTTGCCTTTTATTGTGATTGATTATTGAGTGTGTACAGGAACACGTACACCCACAAGCCCCACCTCAGCGTGCAGGTTTCAGCACAGAAGCAACCCAAGGGTGGCTTTCCAACCTCAGGAATTTAAACGCCTCTCTCTGTGGAGGCTCAGAACAAGATGAGAACTCTAACTGGAGATTAAAGTGGAGCACAAGCCTGGCACACAGAGACATCATTTATTCATGAGCACTTACGTATGTATGCTGTAAGTCGGCAGACTGAGTGTGTTTTCCCACAGCAGCCCTACTTTTCTCTCATTTCTTGAGACAATGAATTCCATTTTTTAAAGTGGTAATTTGCATATAGTCTAATTGTCCTCCTGAAGTAGTAAACAAAAGCCAGGGACCTCATAAAACGGGAAAACTGGACAGGACAGAACGCACATCCAAGCAATATGGTTAATATCGTTTATTCGATAGAAGATGGCAATTTATATACACTTCTATATAGTTTACAGTTTACAAAGGCACTTTGGTTGGCAAGCTAGCATTGTTTGTCTTAAGGTGGCCTAAACCTTACACTAAAAACCTATTCTACTTCACACCCAGACAGCCCAGTGCTTCCCATCACACCTTAATACAATTTCTAGCTGTGCCACAAACTCTTAATTTCTAATTGTGTCACAAACTCTTAATTTCTAACTGTGCCACAAACTCTTAATTTCTATCTGTGCCACAAACTCTTAATTTCTAACTGTGTCACAAACTCTTAATTTCTAACTGTGCCACAAACTCTTAATTTCTAACTGTGCCACAAATTCTTAATTTCTAACTGCGTCACAGGCTGGAAGGCCTCGCAAGGCCCAAATATGAGGCCTAGACTGGAGTAGCTCAAATCTCATTCCAAACATAAATCATGCCCTCTCTCTCTCAGAAATGTTGCAACAATAAACCTTTAATGGGTAACATTGACTAACATTGCCGGTTTTAAGGGATTGTTTTCCCAACATGGAGGCAGCGATTTACACAAATAGCAGTCACTGGCTTTTATTTAACACAAGAGCATATGAAGAGAAAAGCAGCAGAAAGCAGCGTGTAAAGTCCTACTTGGAGGTTGTGGTAAAGCTGCCAGTAGATAGTAGAAAAGACTAATCAGTACATAAGAGATTCAAGGTTGCCAGCAATTAATTCTAACAGGAACTGAGCATATTAAGGGGTCTCGGTCAAATCCTAGGAGTTTTGAAAAAAATTTAACTTAATCTTTGCCTTCCACTGAGAGTTGGCCAGGGTCCAGACCATCATTGTATGGGGAGACTATAAAATCCCCTTGCACTATTTTCTGTAACTTATTAAGCATATGCTAGACTCCTATGGGAAAAAAATGAAAAGGGAAAAAAACTACTGAACACATTTTGTTGATCATGGAAGGAGTACCTGTTCTTCTTGTCACCCCAGTTTTTCAGCTGGTTTAGCCCCCCCCCTTATCTTAGTAATTTTCTTAGGTACTGGAAAACTCAAGATGTCAAACATCACTTTAATTTTGTCATGCTAGCATATTTGCAGCTATGTTCCTGTCACTTTTGAATTCCAGCTTTCAATCAGAAACACTTCTGATTACTTCCCAGCAGCATAATTTTACAGGCTGAGTAAAAAAAAACCTAATTCCACAGCAAAATGATAGTACACAACATTTCTAAGAGAATTATTATTTTTACTGGCTTCGGTGGCAAATGTAGATACTCAAAAATCTTGTGTTCAAGAAGATTATGTTATGAAGGCAAATTAATTCGAGTAATGGCCGACAATATTTCAGTTTTTACTTGTGAGCAGAATTTGAGCAACTTCATCAGTGCCCTTCTTTTAGGACACTGAAATGAGCAGAGCTACAGAGTCCTTCAGTGGTCGCAGGACAGCTAGAAATGATTGCTGATATTTACAAAATCACAGAATATTTGAGTAAGAAAGGACCTTAAAGAACATTCAATTCCAACCCCACACACTCCACTAGACCAGCTTGATCAAAGCTCCAAACAACCTGGCCTTGAACACTTCCAGGGATGAGACATTCCTTAGTTTAAATATTATAAAAATGTCTTCACCTCAATGTCTTTAGCTTAAAGGATATAAAAATGTCTTAACAATTTTAAGGTTTTGTGATCACCTGATAATGAGAGAAAGGAAAACAATGATCTCCAACATACCCAGACATACTGCTTCCCATTTTTTGCTCCTTTTTTTGTCTTTTTCCATTTGTTGTCTGAACCCACTGGCTTTTTTTCCTCACAGGCTGGCTGTGGAACTATCCGCCAGGAGCTTTTATGGCCATTCAAACACTGCTATTAGAATCACTTTGCTTTCCTTGACAAGAACTTCATGCCTTGCTCCTCAGAACCCAAACAGACCTTTAACATAATATACTGGCTCTCACTAAAAGAAATGAAAAGCAGTTGAATGGATAAACAAGACACCTTACATTTTATTCCAAGTACTATTACTTCTTCCTAATTCCTTCTAGAACACACATGGAATAATCATTTATATGAGAAAGGGGTTTTGGTTTTGTTGGGGTTTTTGGCTTTGCTGCTTTTTGGGGTTTTCTTTTCATTAAATACCTTTATGAAATGAAGAAGAGGATGAGTTCTCTTATTTTCTTTCTGTATAAAGCATCAATTATTTACAAATTTTAGTTTCTCCATACTGTTAGAAGCAGCAGGTGCTGAGTGCCCTTTTTTCCTAGACCTAATATCCTGAACTAAAAACCAGGTAATCAACTTCCCTTGGCATTGCTTTCTGATAATTTTCTCAACTTCTTTCACTTTCTTCTAATAGCAATAGAGGGTGCTTGCTGTTAATCCTGGTATCTTTTGGGATATGCAGTTTCTGTATGACTTTATTTTTCTTATTTAAATGGAGGTTACAAATTCTATATTTTCTATGTGCTTGTTCATGCAAATATAAGCTAAAAAACCAAAATGCATTTATCTTTTCTATAAATACTCTCTTTTCCAGATCTACAGTTATCTGCAGAACTGTGGATGAAAAGATTTATCAAGTAAGCATACAGCAAAAAGTCTAAGAGAAATGTTTGATATATCAAAAAATAAAAATCAGTTTTCTCATTTTTGCTCTTGCTCTGACTGCAAAATGGAATACACATTAATGTGTTACAATCTAATTTATTTCCTTTTTAAATTATAATCAGGTTCCAGGGTTAGTTTTTCATAGTATAGATTTGAAAAAGAAAATAATTCACGACTCAAATTTCCCTTTATCTTATTATATTGATAGTGGAGAGATGGGGCTGCTCAAGCATTACAAAGTAATTTTATGTTATTTTGCTGAGGTTATTGTTATTTTATTATTAAATTATTTCTTCTACTGAGTTTTCTTAAATATGATGATTCATATCCTTAATACATTAAAGGATCACTGTATGGAAATATCTGACCAGGGCCATAGGACTGAATTATGTGTGAAAAGATGAAGACACAGCTTAAGTACACAGAACAGACTCAATAAACAGCATAAATATAAAGAAAATTAAAAAATAATAATAGTCTTAAGGACATTAGAAATCTCAGGTCTTATTTTCCTAAGCTATAGTGATTCTAGGTCATACTAGAATTGCAAAATAGTAATACAAAATGCCTTGTTAGACAGAAATATCAATATTTTAGAAATATCTAAAATGTAAAATATATATGGTTTTGCAATATTGGTAAAAAAAAGGACCAAAATCTAATTGAGGTCTCTTTACAGGTTGCAAAAGAAATATCTGTCCTAATAGTTTTCTATTTCTGTCCTTTTTTTCAGTTAAAGCAGAGGACTTGTGGTTCATCATTTCTGAAAACATGGAGTTGATAATAAGCCAATTTTACTTCTGAAATCAGAAGGGTAAATAAATGATGTGTATAGAAAACCATGTGAAAAAGTCTGATACTGCAAATGTCTAACCACATGGTTTCAGCAGGAGGTTAGGAATATAAATAGGAGTTAAGAACCCCTGCTGAACCTGGAGCATGGTTAACTTTATATACTTGAGTAATATTTAAATAAATGGGAATTCTATATGCTATTAAGTAATCTTGTATTCAAAGGAATAAAGCTGAGAATATTCTTCTCAGTTACGTGCAGTTACTTACACATCATTCAATATCTTTTTATTTTAATGTAATTTAAATTCACATTTCAGTTTTCCTTATGGTTTGATGAACTGCATAAATGTTTGGTTTTATTGATATTTTGTGAATAATGAGCTCCACTGGTACATTCTTGTAACTGATAAAATACCCGCAAGTTCTGCATTTAGTCAGCACAATATATCTTTTGGATTCTGGGTTGCTAAATGTAAGAAATTTGATTCTAATGATATTTCAAAATAATGAGATCACTTAGTGTTATCAATTAATTGTAATAAGTAGAAATATTTGTTTGATGTGTCACACTATTATTTTTTTAGTGGTATAAATCCATCTTATTTTACCAATTCACTTATAATGCTATGGTCATAATATATATAAATAGTTCCATATCAAAATGCATAATTTTATTAATCTATTTTTATTGCTCATTTTAAAACTAATAAAACATTGTTGCTGTGTTTGACTATTTTATATTCACAACTATTAATATTATATTATATTTACATATATACTAATTACAGTCATATATAAACAAATGCAAAAACACCTAACCTGTTATAAGAAAGGACAAAAAGCTTCACTGTTTTAATCCTGAACAGGAAATAAAGGCTTCAGGCAAACTCATATTTCAAAAACTGAAGCCAGCTACCTCTAGACCAGTATAATCTCGGGGTGATATCTTTGGTGATGAATCTCTGGTAACTAAGAAATATATACCAAGCAGATTTTATATATGAAAAGCAAAAGCATTGTGAGAGCTACTTTAATTTTAGATTTAATTTGAGAAGGTCGGATAGAAGAAAAGTTCTTCCAGCTTTAAGGCTGCTACAGACCTCGAGTTTGAAGAGTCCAACAGACTGAATCATTGATCTTGAGAGCATCTTCAAACCACTACTGAAACTGGGAAAAAAAAGTCTGATCTCTTTGCTATTGCTAAGTGATGTTTTCGTGTGTGGGTTCTAATTTTCTATACATAACTTTGAGACGTGACAAGCCAGGCTGTTTCCCAAACACTGCATCTGTGTACAAAGGAAAGAATAAAGGAAATTAGATGGCACAGTTGTAGCATGGCATATTAAAGTCTCTTTTAACTTACAGCTTTCAATTTTACACTTGTAAAAAAAGTTAATTTCATTTTACACTTGTAAAATATTCTCATACAGAAAGATGCAATGAATACACAGATTGTGACTATCATATTTCAGATGTGAGGTTCCTTGCAGGAGAATATGTTTAAATTTATAATTATAGGTTCTAAGTACTTTTGCCTCTAAAATGGCAAGTGAGAAATGGCATTTCAGTCTGTTTTAAATAATTCAGGATTTAAGGCACCAGAAGGCTACTATTGATGTTTGATCTTGTCTTAGGTATAAAGCAGGCAATCTGCAACAGCTGTGACATTATAATAATAAATATATTTGTATTTTCACTCAAGCATAACGCATGGAATAATTTCTCTAGTAGTTAACTAAGACAGTATCATTATGACCCACTAACCTTTGGTATATCTGATAGCATTAAAACAATAATGTTATTGAGGCTGCATCAGAGACTTCTTTTTGTGGCCTTTAGATTGAAATTAATAGCAGTTTGGTGTGGTTTTACTATTGATTTTAAACCTAACATATCAAGGTGGTGCTACCCATAGGAGGTCTACAGTGTTAGCAGTCTCAGAATGGTTAAAGCAATGATCTGATTTTCATTTTGTGCAATATTACTGATTCTTTGTGTGTTTTAGGCAGTGCCATCCTTTCATTTGCAACACAGATTTAATCCTGATCTGATAATTTTAATCTTTCATACAAGATGTTCAGCACTATATCATCCAAGTGTAACTGCAAATGTCACAACCATTTAAGGGCCAAAAAGGTATTGTCATCCTTATTGATTTTATTTTGATATTTTTACAGAAATTCGGAACAGGCTAAGAAAAAAGTTATTAATTCTAATCCATAATTGTTCTCTGGTATTAACAAAACTACTTAACTGTAGTAAAGAGGTTCAAATATATTAAAAATTCTCTTAGTCATCAGAACTAAAAAGGTAATAGATGGGAAACAACTGATTTAATAGAAGTCAGCCCAGAAGTCCATTAATAATTCCTGGTCCAAATTTGTCCATAAACACTAAAACCAGTAAAATGCACTGTAAAAACTGTAACAGAGAAGATAAGAAAGAAGAATATCAAAAGAAAGTTCACAAAATGGGAATAATTTTTAAAAATTGTTTCTTAGTTTAGTTTTCAATATTATCACTTTCAGTGGTGAGTCATAACATAAAATGCAGCATCTATGACAGAAAAATTAATATAATTTCAGGTCAACTGAATATATCACCTTAGTTATCCAACAACAAACTACAAATGACATTTTTAAAAATCATCAACTTTCTTAACTTTGAGTCAGATTACCAGAGCACTACTTTTCACCTGATCTCATTTTTCTCTTCCAATTATTGTTAATCTTAGAGAGATTTTTTTTCTTCATTTTTTGGTTCAGGATATTGTATTTTTGAAGCAAGGTAGAGCTACATGATATGGAATCTTGCCAGCTTCCGATTAACAATAAAAATGTTAAGAGTATTGGACTGTAATATAATGATAAGATTAAACTGTGAAACAGGTTTGATTATAAAAGACCTCATCTGAAAAAAAGGTAATCCTGATGTGAAATGTTATATATTACGGTTGAGAAGAAATAATAAACCAACTTATACATATACTAAAAGTTAAAATATTCAATTATATTTTAGAAGACATTCTTATCAGTGGAACACACTTGTTCTACCAAAATAAAAGTTGCATAATTGGAAATTAAAAAGTTATAGCGACGTCCTTCAACTTTTTCCAAGGTGCTTGTTAATTCTTTCTCTGGAAGAACATTTATCTTATTTCGGGGTGGAGAGGGGAGGGGGAAGAATCCGACGTAAGCAACTTTTATTTCTTTCAGTTATTTTCTTCTTAGCTACACTATTCCTGTAAAAATCTCCCGTGCAGATCATCTTTTAGGATAAGTTTTAAACCAGTAACCCACGGACCTACATGAACATTTACTTATTCATTTTGGACATGGAAACAATGCAGGACACAGCTTTTCTTTACCCATGCTCATCTGCACTTTTCAGTTTGATTAATCAGCCTGTTCTGAAGGTGTGAGCTTTATACTTTTGGTAAAATGTGGTTTCAGGTATCATGGTTGGTTTATTCAGGATTTTATAGAGACATTGCTACCTCCTAATTCAGTTTCCAATACAAACACAACATATTAGCTTCTTCATAATGATCAAATACAGTGGCTGTTTGAATTAGATAAAATCAAAACATTAAATTTGCTGAACGGTACAAATATTTGACTGACAATTCATTTACTCATCTCAGATGCAGAAAAGGTTTTGTAAAACCCCTCTCAAACCTAGAGCAAACTTTAGGATTTTATCCCACTAATCCTCCAAAGCTGAAAACCATAAAAAAATCAGAAGTTATTATTCTTAAGAACATTGCAATGGACACTGTTTTAAGTCACCACCGCTAGGTTTTCTGACCCAGATTAGCATACACAGATTTATGCAATAAAAAGATCATTAAAGGAAATGTGAATTTAGGAGCTGGGACCCAAATGTTCACTGTGTAGTCCTGTGATTCTTTGCACCATGAGAACAAACCACTTGCTGCTGTGAACTTACAGGCATTATTACTGCCATCAAAAGTAGGCAGATTACACCCTAAAAGATGAATGGTAGCAGATACCATTAGAAAATCCACAATCTTAATAAAAAGATCTTTATTTATGGTCATAATTTTCAGGATTTAAAAAAAAAAAATTGTTTCTCCTCAAATTCTATTTAAGATATTGTGTTGAAGGTTTTCATTTAGAAAATGCGCATAACCTCATATTTGAAATTTAAATATTCATAGATTTTCTAGATCACTAGGGAAAACAATTATATTACATGCTGGTATGCTGTTGATCCTTTATAGATGTTTAAGCAGCACTCAGCATTTATTTTCCATTTTGCTTTCTCTATCTAATGTGGAATTTTTTAGTGGACTTCACTGTGAAGTTCAGCAGAACACAGATAAATGTGAATAGGCTTCATGTTGTCTCAAGTTTATTCTTCTAGACATGCTATTTTTCATGAAATAACCCAAATATGACTGCAGCTTTCTTTCTCCATGGACAATTGGCACTGTTCTAGTTCAAAAACTGTTGGTATTTATGTAATACTATATTGATTCTGTTACTGTTAAGAAAGCAGAAGTAAAAGAAGCTTTAATGCTCCTTTGAAGAGGCAGAACATGTGTGACACTCAATTTTGCCCACATGTATAAATGAACATGGACAGGTACTATTTGTCAAAAAAAAAAAAAAAAAAAAAAAGAGAGAAAAACAACTAAAGGTTCAGAAGAGCTTGATTTTGGAAGAATGCTCTTCATAAACACTTTGGTGCATGACTTCATGGTTAACTGAAAATATGCTGGTACAGCATCTTTACAGGTTATTGTTACATGGCTTGCAAAAGTCTAAAGCTATTCCAAATGTCAACATAAATGCTAAGAATACCTTCCAGCTAGGAAAAAGCCCACTGAGTCTGGGCTCATTGCATTACATTTCACTTTCATTTCATTTCATTTCATTTCATTTCATTTCATTTCATTTCATATCATTTCATTTAGTCAGACTTCACTCAAAGCAACTAAAAATATAAATTTAACTTTCACATGTTAAAAAAAATATTTTCATTTTATCAAATGTCATCTGAATTTTGTATTATTTTCCTTACTTGCCAATCTGTGTAGCACTATGGTATTGGGGAAATATGCCCAGTGGGAAAGGATGGGTGGCAATGGCTGAACATGAGCCAGCACGTGTCCAGGTGGACAAAAAGATCAGTGGTACTCTGGGCCTGTATTAGGAACAGTGTGGCCAGCAGGACCAGGGCAGTGACCATCCTTCTCTACGTATCACTGAGGAGGCCACACCAGTTTTGGGCTTCTCACTACAGCAAGAACATTGAGGTGCAGGAACATGTTCATAGAAGGTCAATGGAGCTGGTGAATCTGGAACACAAGCCTGATGAGAAGGATCTGAAATTTAGATCAGATGTTGAGAAATGTTTATTCACCAAAAGAGTTGCCAGGTACTGGAACAGGCTGGCCTGGGAAGTGGTAAAGTCACCACCCCTGGAGGTATTTAAAAGGAGTGTAGATGTGGCACTCAGGGACGTGGTGACTCGGCAGTGTTGGGTTAATGGTAGGACTCTATGATCTCAGAGATCTTATCCAACCTAAATGATTCTACTCTAGGAAGTCCCCTCCTTTAAAAAAAAAATAAAAATATTTGCAATCAGTTATTGCATTTCAACAAAACAAGTCAGCTAAGTATTACCTTTACAGCCAAAATGTTATAGTAGGCATATTTTATACCATAATTAAATATATCTTTTCCTCTGTATTGAACTTCAATATTTTTGTTACAGCCATTTTGCAATTGTGCTAATGTGCTGCTTAAAAGCATATTATGGTAACAGTTTTGATCCAGATCCTTGAAGAAGGACCTTGTAAAGCACAGAAGTTTTGATTCATATGGAAGCTAATAGAGTTATTTCCACCATGTGTATGTGCTGGAAATCAGACTCAATCACCTGGCCAGTGCATTTTAAATTTGGCAATCTTTCCACTCAATTGAGATCAGCAGATTGTTGAACATTCATGGGTCAGAACTTTTTATTAGAAGACCCTGGTATTATGCTCTTGTTTAATACAATTAATCATTGCTCTTTCCATCTGAAGAACTTTCACCTTTTGAGAGTTAATTTACTATATAATGTTTCATTTGATAGGCCCTGAACCTTCTGCTCACAAGTTACTTGACATCACATTTTCCCTACTCTTTAAGTTTCCAAATCATGGTTGATTTCATTGTAATGAATAATTAATAAAGTAAACTGTTCTGCTGGATGAATTAAGAAAGAAAGCTAAATAGCCTTTTCCCTTCATAGCTGGGGTACAAAAGTGTTGTTGCTAAGGAAGGGTATGAATAGATGCATAAATGTTCAATTATTTCACAGTCCAGCAGTGGCTCTACCAACTAGGTTTTGGTACAGATAAACATTAAAAAACTGAATTACAAGGGTTTACATAAGGGAAAATCCAAACCAAATACCTGACCTGATAAAGTGCAGTATTTCTTCTTTAACTTTTTAAAATCTTTCTGAGCTCTTCTGAGCTCTCCTAATATAAATTGAATTGCTCTACTAAGTGATCATCACAAAAAATAAAAAGCAAAGCAACAAATAAGAGCAAAAATAGAACATCTACACTGCAAATGCTACCAAAACTAAGCATACAGCTTTTATAATTAATTACTTTACAGTGGCAGCTGACAACAGAAAGCATTGTAGTTATGCTTCAGCATGTTCCAGAGCACATCTGCAGAAATCTCTACTTTCTCCTGAAATCCCTGTCTTCTATTTCTACATCCCAGAAGAAAAACACATATTCATGTTCAGAAATTATATACAAACTTTCATTTAGCATACAAGTACTTCAGTTGAATTAAAACAGAAGTAGCAACAGCAAATTTTACATCAGAAAATGGAAGATGCATAATTTTTAATACATTGGAATCACCTTTCTTACCAGAATGTCAAGGATTCCTATAAAAGCAAATATCCAGCACACATCACGTTTCTTAGATTCAGTGAATTCCGTCTTGCTCCTACAAATTCCAAAAGAAATTTCTTTACTGCTTTCTCTGGACTAAAAAGCAGAGTTTCTCAGAGGAGTAAGAAACTGCACTTCTCTTTAAGCTAATAACAGCTCCTGAATGAGTCCCTGCCGTAATTTAAGCAGCCTAAGGGTGTAATTATACAAATGAATTATTGAAAGGTAATTTTACTCTATTTTGGCCATTCTGTTCAAAGCCTACATATTTATGCTCATTCTCTGAGGTAACTGATTTGGAAAACATAAATGTAAAGTATTATGCAACAAATGATGGTGCCCTACTTACAAGAATATTAATATTTTTATTCTTACATTAAAAAGAAAAAAAAGTACAGAATATTAATTTCAAAATAAGTAGGAGAAACTTCTCATTAGGAAAAAACAATCCCTTTAAAAAACCCACTCTTCCCTAACATTTCATTACCAAAAATTGCAAGCTAACATTTCAAATTTTCTTTTTATTGTTTGCCTCGCAGTTCTGAGCCTTGCAGGGCTTTTCATGATCACCTTTCATAAGCCAGGAAAAGGAGATTTTCTCTATATGAATTCTGAAAGAAGCATGGGCTTATATAGCTCCAATTTAATTGCAGCTGTAGTGGTACTTCTGATTAAAAGTCCCAGACCATGCAGGGGAAAAACTGTGAATGTTTCAGTGCAAGAAACATCTTCAAGAAGAGAGCTCAGTGACCTGGGAGTACTTTTTTCACTGAATATGATCCTATTAGTCCAGTGTTTCTTCAGTTTTTCCACATTAGAAACTATCTAGCATGTTCTAAATAGAATTCTTTCTTTTTATTATTGCAAAGGCATAGTTGCTGTGATAGATAGCAACAGAAAAGTGCATTTGGAAAAATCAATAAGAGCAAAGGTGGGAAGGAGCTTGTTCTTTGTCGCTGCAGTTTGGTGACTAAGATGAGCAAAAAAACTTACAGAACAATGATATACCAAAAGCTGATCAGAAAATCAAAGGCAAGCCCTTCTAAGGAATAACTTGTCCACAAAATTAAGAGTTTTCTGGTGAATAAACAAAAAGCCAAGAAAAATTCCCTTTGACCTTTGGATAAAAAAAAAAAATTATAAGTTACGGTCTTCAAT